TTTGTGAAGTGACCTGGTGTCTCTTGACAATGTGTCATCAGCGGTTCGGCGACGAGGGGGGGGGGGTACTTTCGTTGCTTCACTAGTTCCGATTTACAAGTCTCACTCTGGTGAAACCTGTGAACTCTTGTGAAGCTGGAGCAAGCTCGTCAAGCATCATGGTAAAACCTGTCAACTCGAGAAGAGGCTGTCTAGATGGGTCGACACGTCGATGGGAAGTAGCAAAAGTGCAAAATGTCCCTCCTCTCGTCGCCGAACTGCGCCGATGTCATCTCCTTCATGACCCTTGGCGACCTTATGTTTGTTTAGCAATGTATGTCAAAGTATCGTCGGGGGTAGTGTATTGATCTTCGAACCCGTCATCGACCCCTCTCCTCAAAATCACGAGCCAGTGATTACTGCACTTTCACTTCCGTTCTCACGATTTGTCTCAGAAATCCCAATCTGTCGTCTGCTCAGCAATGTGGTTCTTCTTTGCCTATGCTTTATACCCAGAGATTGCTACACCATCGCGCCCATTCCCATCGGCTGTGCGTGTACTTCAAGAGGCTGTGCACTTCATCGAATGAGTTATGCTTAATGCATGCTTCCCTTTTAATGGCGCCACTTTCGTGTAGGGTGCTATGGGCGAATCACTTGTGAACATTAACGAGGAGGTGATGACGTGTGGAGACTTTCAATCGCTTCTTTCTCCCACTGCTCCATTGATTCTCTTAAGTGTCTATATCCCTCCTGAAACTCGAGACATAAAAACTTTTATTCTATCTAGGAAGTAGTTGTTTCGAGGAACACTTTTTCCTTCACTTTGATTAGTATAGGGTCTTTTCCACTTCCAGTAAGTTCGGCGGCTTATAAGTACTTTTTAGCCTGAACGAGGTCGTGCAAACAGTTGATATTGGCGATGCAACACACCATTTAATCCGGTATCAACTTCCTATGGGACCTTGAATGGGCACTTAAGGTTGGGTATATCAGTAGTGTTCGAGATGTTGGCGGCACAGTCGGTGACAATGAAAAAAACGCCAATTCCATTGGAAACTTAGGTGGAAGGATAAGAGCTCAAGGAGTTTTCCGAGAAGTCAGAGAGGAAAATTGTAGATATTCGTAAGCCCTTCAAAGGCAAGTGACACGATAAATCGACAAGGCCTACAAGGTTGATACGCCTAACCCAGAAAAATATTGCGCCCATAGCAGGCGCTGCGAGGCGCCTTTTCCGGCCAGCGGTACCGTTGTAGCGCCTAACCAAGGTTCAACATGCCGACCCAAACGCCCACCACAACGCCGCCCA